AACGTTCTAATCGTTCGGTTACATCGATTTTGAAACAAATTTGGATCAGCACAACCATGCGCATGTTTCATACGGTATGTTCTGGCACAGAAACATCGGTGACCGCAAAATCGCCGTATCCAAGGCGTTCTAATCACTTCATCATCAATGCGATATCGTAGATCGTAAACCCAATGAATGCATGCTGATTGATTGCTCTTAAACATGAGAGGTAATGAAAAATGCAAATTGCTCAGAATGAAGTATTAATTTTTCACATATTCAGCTAGGTTTCACAAACGCCGTGTAGTGGCGTATGAAAGTGCTCACATCAGTCTAAAACTTTACCCGACATAACACCATTATTAACAGCCTTGTCAGGTAGTTGATGTGGTACGTCATGATGCAGCAATTTAGGAGCTGTGAGATAGATTGCGAATGCACCAATCGGAGCCGTTAGAAGGATGCTGAGAACGGCAACTGTTAAAATGATCATTCCAGCCACACGATAACTTTCCGGTAATGCGTCATGTATGGCCATGTCCAAAACGACTGGAGCTAANTCATTCCAGCCACACGATAACTTTCCGGTAATGCGTCATGTATGGCCATGTCCAAAACGACTGGAGCTAAGGCGGCCTGGAATGACGTACATGGTGGTAAATGGTTGAGAATACAGCAACTTCGAGGAAAATATGATACAACTCAGCAAAAATATTGAGAAAAAATGGCTTGAAATATGGTACTCCGGGTTGTACTGAAAGGAATTGTGAAACCGTAAATTTATGTGGATTTCTCTTAGCGATTCTACGGAGAAAAAACGCACTTTTCCTTCAGAATTAAATTCTGAAAGACTGTGTCAACGATTGAACTGAATAGCAAATTTTCTCATTTGTTTAGCATCTGATCGAGAAAATAGATCGAACACGGCAATTTAAAGTGACCTGAACGGTCGCCTTCGGTATCCATGATATCGCAATGAAGAATCGCTCGGAAGCATTGAATCCTGCACCCAATGTACAGTAGTACGCAACGATGGTTCGAACCACACAACCAATTGTTAACACAGCAGTCCCGAGAAGAGCGCCTCTTAAACCAACCTAGAAATTGCATACGATATGATTTGTGCAGCTGTAACATTGTCGGAAAGTTATACATAGCAGTGGTTCTCACGGGGCTGAAATTACCTATTTTAGGTAATTTGACGGTGTCAAGGAATATAATGGAGGGGGTCGGGA